GCCCACAGCCCAGTGCTCAGAGCCTGGGATGGGGGGCAGGAGGGGACCAGAATGGGCAGCCTGGCTAAAACTGCTGCTCCACAGCCCAGAGTAGCCCCAGGGACCCAGAGGCCATCCTTCAAACCTCATCCAGTTTCCTGATCTTCAGACAGTTCCTCCCTTTTCGTCTCACTCAGATCCTCACTCCCTTCACAGCAGTAATCATTTTTATTTAATTTATTGGGGGGGGGGATGAGGTTTATTCATTGATTTATTTTAACAGGGGTACTGGGGATTGAACCCAGGACCTCGTGCCTGCTATGCATGCTTTCTACTGTAATAGAAAAGAACAAATCTGCCTCCATATTAGCTCTGTTCCTTTGGTTTTAACCCTGTGCCCTGTTTTCTAGGCTTAGTCTTACTAGCTCTGCCCTCACGTAAAGATAACAAGTTGCAGAATAGAGAATAACATTTGTTGTGTTGAAGGTTTTGCAGGAGCACCATGAGCTGGCCCATGTGGACGGCTGCGAGAACAAGGAGTTCCTACACCAAGAAGTTTGCAACAACCAACCACACCCCCTCCCGTGTTTTGTTAGTATAAAAGGAGCCTGTATTGTGACTGGAGGCGGGGGGGATGGTTCTCCAAGACATTATTCTGCCATCCTCTCGGTCTGCCGGCTTCCAGAATAATGTTGCTGTTCCTTGCCCCAGCACCTTGTCTCCCAACTTACTGGCCTGTCCTGCAGAGAGCAGAACGAGTTTGGACTTGGTAACACTACAACTGACCTTTACCCTCTCCCTCCAGTAATTGTTTAATCAAAGTTATGACTGTTTACTCATTAGATTGTTAGCCCACAGGGCGCTTATGACTGGGGGTCTCTCGGGGTCCTGACAGCAGGTGGCCCGGTGCAGTAGCGAGTGAACCCGAGTTGGTGGTGCAGTTCCGAGTGCTGCCACCAGAGGGCAGGGCTGCCACACCGTTCCCCCGGGACAGCGGTGGTCCCAGGGCAGCGGCGAGCTTAGTCTTTCAGGCCCATTTTTCCACCGAGGTTCCTCCACTCTCCTACCTGGGCTGACGGGCGAGGGTGCGCTCAGCTCTGGAGCCGAGCCGTGGAAGGGGCGGCCGTGGTCTCACTGTTGGGCGTGTGGCCTTCACGTGAAAGTCCGTCTTTACTCGGGTCCAAATGCTTTATCTTCCTTGAGTGTCCTTGCAGTGTCTGAGGTGGGTCTGGACGTCTCACTGCTCTCCACTCGGACGTTTCCCCAGCCCCCCTACTTGCAGCCTCACTCCCCATTCCCACACCAGGTCCCCGAGTCTCTCCTCTGGTCTTTACTTCTGCAAGGAATTAGGCTCCCATAGGTTTGCTCGGCTCAGGCAACGCCCATCGGCATGTGTCTCTTCTTTAGCAGCAGGGTATGGACCGCCCGCCTCTGCTTTCAGCTCTTTTTATGTCCCCTTTATCCTTGGGGTTTAAGCTCCTTTCCAAAAAATAAATTCCGTGTTGTGGGCTTTCAAGTGGAGGGAGGAAAATTTGTTCCAAGCTGGTTGGTGGGTTTGGGGGAAGGGTAGCTAGCTTTTGCCTCCTGCAGATCCAGAGGCACAGAATTAAAGTTCTGGCACCATTATCAGAAGGTGCTGGGATGAAGTGAATAGAGCAGAGGCACTGCCACTGCCACGTACACTCACTTATGCAGTAAGTGAACATAACAGCTTGGTTTGGGGGTTTGTGAAAGGCAGTTAACCCCCCTCTCCTCCCATCCTAAGTGTGCAGTCCCAGTGAGGGACACGCACAGGAGTCAGGCACATAGCCATGAAAATGTCAGCTGTGTTATGGGTGACTCTGAATGGGAGGAATTAACTAGACCTGGGGCCATGTGGTTGCCCAATACTTAGCACCTGCCAGTCACAGGTGACATAGAAAATGACAGGTGTCTTCTGTGAGGGAAAGAAAGACCTGAGGACAGGCTGCCCTGGGAGACTGGGTAGGTCTGCTCAGCATACCCAGTGCTTTCTCCAAACTCACAAATACCGTCAGTCCAGGTGAGCAGGAGACTCGGGCTGGGAAGCCATTCTCTACTTCTTGTGTGAAAATCCCTTTCTGGAAACATGAGGAGTGAGAGAGAAATGTTATCCATAGCATAAGATTTTTCCAGATCCTGGGGGAGGGGAGGGTATAGCTCAAGTGGTCCTGCATGAGGTCCTGGGTTCAATCCCTAGTACCTCCTCTAAAAATAAATAAACATAATCACCTCCCCCCCACCAAGATAAAATAAAATAAAATAAAATGATACAATAGTAAATAAGTAAATTAAGTGTTTTTTAAAAAGATTTTTCCAGATCCCAATTTATATCCCAGGGGTGAAACCCACTTTTGGAAATCAAATAATAGAATCCTTAGCACTTCCTTCTCCGATAACGGGGCATCGTGCATCCTGCATAATGCCACATGTATAGCAGACAGTAACACTTTAGTGAAAACAAGCACAGAGATAGTGGAAGCCACAACTACACTGAAGAGGGGGTCATTGATTGTGGGCAACAGTGGGCTCTGGGGGGCAGGGGAGTTGTCTTTTCTGAGAAGCAGGAGGTACACATCACATTAATATCTTCAGATCGGTCAGAGTGGGATTATTTACATTGTAAAACTTGGTGGGCGCTACCATTCAGGGTTCTGATCACACAGAGTTGGTAGTTTCCCCGTTCCTGACCAAACCCCAAACCTGCTTCCCCTTCCTCTTGAGAGCACACACACACAGAGCAGAAAGAACTCAAGCAGGTTCTAGAACCCCGCATCCGGACAGAAGGGATTACAACGCAGTCACCCATCGGCAATGGACACTGCTGACTGGCCTCTCCCTCTGGAGGGCAGCCTTGGGGGGAGCGGTTGTAGAGTCTTTGCCCCAGGCAGGCTCCGCTCTGCATGAGGTCCTCAGGGCTGACGTCTCCACCACAAATAACCCTTTTGAGGGGCATCTGTCAGCAGATCTCACCGCAGATGAAAACCAGACTAGAAGAAAAGTGTGTCCCTCATGGATCTGTCTCCTCCTCACCCCCTGCAGAATTAGCGTTTCATCTGAGCCTCGCTTTCCCCTGAATAAAACATGGTGCCTCGCTCCCCTTCCTCAGCCCTGAGGTCTACAATGTGTGAAATCTTCTTTGTGTCTTCAGTTGCCGGATCCTACTCTGTTGTAGACTCACCAGCCCTGCTCTGTGCCCGGCAACTGGTGCCTGAGGTTTTCCACCTGATGAAGCCAGCATGCCCACAATCGTCTGCCTTAGACAGTGATTCATTTGGCTAACACCTTGTTTAAGGTCTTTGCCCCTATGTTTGTGAAAGATACTAAACTGCAATGTTTCCTTTCTCAAAATTTACTTTCGGATTTTGAAACAAGGCTATTCTGGCTTCCAAACACAGGTTTTCTCTTCTCTGGAGCTGATGTAAGATTGCTATTAATAGCTTCCTCAAGTGTGCGGAAGGATTGGCACGAGGGGTGGACCAGTGGCTGGACCCCCTTGTTTGGAGATTTGGGGCCCATGCCCCAAAGATATAAAGGGTCTGCATACCAGGTCTCACCCCCTGTAGTCTTCCTGTACCCATGTGGGCCCCATTTCTTTTTTTCTTTTTTAATGGAGGTACTGGGGATTGAACCCAGGACCTCGTGCATGCTAAGCATGTGCTCTACCACTGAGCTATTTCCCTTCTCTCCTGGAAAGGACATTTCTTGCTGCCTGATATTTCCACTGCGCAAACTCACTCCAGGCCCCTGCGCATCCTCACCAGCTGCACCCCTACCCTGGCCTGAGCCAGTTTATAATCATCTGTCTCACCCACCCATCATGCCTCCTCATGCCAGCTCCACTCTGTCTGCACATCCTGCCCCCTCTGGCCTCCAGCTCAGCCCCTGCCCTCTTCTGGATGTCATGCATCCACCCTGCTCCACCATCTGAAAGCAGGGATCACTGTGGGTCAGTGCCTCCAGCTTGGATGGAGCAAGGCACTATCCGGACAATGGCTGTGACCGTCAGAGGCTGAAGAAAAGCTGGGCTGCCTGGTTGCCAGACAACTCCATGGCCTGGGCCCAACTCTGGACCCCAGAACACAGAACAGAGCCCATGAGGAATATGCCACCACTTCAACCTCAAAACGTCATTTTAACAAAGTCCAAAGGCAAGCGTCCTCCTTTGTGAATGACCCAGGATGGGGCTGAACCACACTGACTCCATTTTGTCAGCTCTGTCTTAGGCCCGCAGGCTGAACCCCTCCCATTTCTGCATGACTGAGCCTACTCACAAGGAACGCACCACACCCTGTCCATGCTGACCCTTCGTCTTATATGAAAACTAAAAGAACGGCTTTGGCTGACACACACGGGTAATGGTCATTAGACCCCAGGGGGAGGAAAAACCCCGGTTCCTGTCAGTGCGGACAGGCTTCTCCCTCGGTAGTCAGATTCTGCTTTTAGCTTTGGCCCCTTTTTATCCCCTGGACACCTTTCAGCTGCATGGAGTTCCACTGCAAAGGCCTCTGGTTGGTGTCCGCTTGGTCCTGCCTGTAAGTTACAATAACTTCGTAATGGCACTTTCTGGGGTGGCCGGCTTCATTGTCCGTCTTAAAGTTTCTTCTCACTCCAGAGGACATCACTCAATATCTGTGCTGTCCAGTAGCCATCTTCGTGTGTTTTCTTCAATTTTTAGCACCAGGACTACGGGATGCTAGCATTTTTAAACAATCCCATGTGATCATCATTTTAGGCAATTTTCAAGTTGGGGCGGGAGCATCCGGGAGAGCGTCCCTCTGAACAGCACACAGTGGATACAACTCTGTACGCCTTCACTCTTGAAAACAAAACGGACTTAAGTATTAAACGTGAGCCCCTCTGTCTGGTGGGCATCATGCAACACAGCCCAGTTCCTGACTGAGGACCTTGTACAAAGGGATTAGATAAAAGGGAAGAAACTGTTTTTGTCAGCCACACGTGGGGGACGGGCCCGAAAGGATACTCCACAGCTGGCCGTCAGAAAGAAATTTATTTCTAAATGGAGATGGGTGTGGGCGCTGGTGAGGGTACATGTCTGTCCCCTGCCAGGGCTCTGATGCCCACCCCCAGCCCCTGCTGCCCAGCCTGGGAAGGGCCAAGAAGTGGGTCTTGGGGTGTGTTGTTTGGGGTTAGGGAGGCCCCAGGGCCCCCGCCTGGAGGCCCCCTGTGGGAGCCTGTTACAGGTGGCCTGTAGCCCTGGACGCTTGTCATGGAGCCGCAGGCCAGCCTCCCAGGCTTCGGGGCGGCACCACCAAGGCAGCCACCTCATACTGCAGGAGGGCAGCCAAAGTGAGGGGCCTGCTTTTCAGCAGCCTGTAGCCCCCTGTTTCCTCCAGCTCTGGTACCTGGGGAGGAAAAAGTCAGCTCCGGGTGCTGGCTGGAAGGGGGCGGCTCCCCAGCCAGCGCCTGGTCCTTGGTGCTGTGGGGGTCCCCGGGTAGGCACTTAAGTCACGGGGCAGAGAGGACATTGTTCCTGTCCCGCAGCAGGTCCCCCGGGGCTTGGGGCGGTGGTGCGGGAGTCTGAGCCCATGTCCTCCCCACCCCCTCCCGCTCCACCCTCTGACCCTCGGGGCCTCACCGGTCCATCCCCCACCCTGTTCTTAACGGTCCCTGTCCCTCTGCCCCGTCTCTGTTCTGTCGCTTTATCTCCTTATTCCTGACCCTCATCTGTCCTGCTGGATCTCCCCGTCTCTGTCCCTCAGGCCCCCTCCCTATATCTGTTTCTCCTCCTCTGTGTCCCTCTGGCGTCCTTTCTCGCTGCGTGTCTGTCTGCGCCCCTCTTCTCTGTCGTCCTCCTTTCCCCACCCTCCAATGAGAGGCTGTGGTGACCTCGGAGGCGGCTCTGCGGGCCGTTCTGGCTTTGGGCGCCTGGGATGAGCGCGGCAGTGGCGGTGGGGACCGAGGCGGCAGGGAGCAGCAGCAGCAGCAGCAGGACCAGCGGGCGCCACATGGCCGGGCGGGCAGGGAGGCTGGGAAGGTGCGAGGGGTGGGCGGTCAGAGGCTCTGTCCTTTGTCCCCCACCCACTCTCCAGTCCCCTCCCCGTTCCATGTGCCCGGCGCCTCACGCCAGTCTGCCTGTCACTCTTCACCTGCCCGCAGCCCTGCCGCGTCTGCCCGCAGCCCGGTCTCTGGCCTCTGGACCCCGAAGACTGCGATCCAAACAGTTTTCGCCTGAGGAGCGTCCGCTGCAGCTTTCGACGCCTCGTGGAGACCAGGCCGAGCTCCACTGCTGACCACGCCCCTGGCCCGAGCTCCGCCCCGCCCCTTGTTACGCCCACCCCAGCACGCCAGAGGCCACGCCCCCAGGGCAGGCCCCGCCCGAATTCTTTAGCCACACCCTGGGGCGAGGCGAGTCTCCAGCCACGGCCACGCCCCGTTACAACAGGCCATCCCCCCTAGTCACGGTCAGGCCTCCGTTTGCTGAGCCGCGAGAGTCCTGCCCCCGAATTGAGCCCCCAGCACCCCTGCGTTTGGGGTTCTCGCGTGTGAGGGCCTCAGAGCCCTGCGCAGTCTCTCCTGTTCACCCCGTCCTGTGATTTCTAGCTCCTTGGCCTCCCTGAATTCTCTCCTTCCTGAATCCTCCCCTGTCTCCTCCACTCGGGGCGACTACCTTTCCCTGCACGGTGGCCCAGAGAGTCTCCCCCGGCGATATGCTGGGGTCACTTTCTCTTCTCTCGGGGATGCCTGTCCTGCCTGATGTCCCATGCCCGAAAGCCATAGTTTCACCTGTTTCGCCCAGTTTTTCAGTTGTTTAGTCAGGAGAGTAAATCGGTTTCCTGTTACTTCATCCTGGCTAAAAATGAAAGATGAGAAATCTTATCTTTTGCGTGACTGCCTCTTTAGAGGAGCTTTCGAAATCTTATCTTTGATATTCTTATATTTCACTTTAATGAAGTGTAGATGTTTCAGTATCTTTCCTGTTTGAAACTCCACCTGCTCTTTCAATTTGAGATCATACTGGTTTTTTCACATACACAAAACCGTCACTCCCCCCTCCTCCAAGGAGCTCCTCCCCTTCATTTGTGGCGTTTTCCCCATCTTGGTATCTTGCTTGAAACCTCTATTTCGGACCTTTTCACACCACATTCTCCTTATTCTTTCTGAAGCCTCTGCAAAAGCTCTTTGCTGCACAGTCTCTTCCACTCTAACCATTGGTGCATCTCATCTATTGAATTTTTATCGTTGACACTTAATATTCCCCTTCAGATGAACTGTTTACCCTACTTCACGTTGCCAATACTCTTTTTCCCTTGAGGATGTTTATTCAGCATAGGTGTTCCATTTGTCTTTTGTGTGTGTGTGTGTGTGTGTGTGCTGAGGCCCTCAGGAGTCTTTTTGCCAGAACTCATTTCTCCCGGGGGCTCCTGCACGCTTGGCGGGAGGAAAGGCCAGTCACACCCCCGCGTCCCAGGGAGGGTGGATGGAGGACGCAGCAGCCTCGGAAGGAAGGCAGCCGGGCAGGGACGGATCGCGCTCGGCCGCGCGCCCCTCCTGGACAACATCGCTACAAAAGGAACCCCCCAGCCCCCATTTTAAAATCATCACTGAAACATCAAATTTCTGCTGACTCCGGTCTGAACACTCCCAGGCTTGGGGAGGTCAGTACTGGCTTTCCCGTCCCACTACCCCGTCCGTCAGGCAGTAACTGCCCTGGGCTCACGTGTGGAGAGAACCCGGTTTTGAAGTCTGGCCCAGCAGACGCCGCGCTATTTGCGCCAGTCTCTTCGCCGACTCCACACCTCCCTCCAGTGTGACCACAGCTGCCCTCTCTCCCCTCCGAGGCTTCCTGACTCTGTTTCCACACCACACCCTTTGCTCACAAGTCAGCAATTCAGTGGCAGCTCACCAGACCGACAGGCACTACGGGGGTCTGGTTTTGTTCATGTGAAAGGGGATTTTTTTGTGAAAGGGGATTTTTTTGTTGTGATTACCACTGTACTTGGGGAGGGTTACTTTTAAATTTTTGTAGCCTTCATATAATGAAAGTTGGGGAACACTTGTGACACTGTCACTGCCACATGTCATCTGTTTCCCCTTTTTAAAGGGCTTAGTTTGCTGGGCAACCTACCAGGGTGTAACTGGGGATGGAATAAGGCAGTCGGTGAAATTCTGCCCTCAGCTGTAAGTGGTCTTGAGCTAATGCCTTTTAACATATTTGGGTGACTTCAGGGAGAAGTCTGAAGTTAACTGGCCCCAAGCTGAGCAGCAGTAAGCATGGGGGTGGGGGGTGGGCTCAGGATGCACTGAGCAGGCAGTCGGTTTCTGGCACAGGAGGGGAGCCCTGGCCCTGCTTGACCACACCCTTGAGCCCAGTGGGCTGAGGGAAGTTAGCCAGTGCGGGGATCACACCTCCAAGTCCCACCCAACGCCTTGGTGACCCCTCCACCAGCAAGCAATGCGCTGTCCACATGTTTACACATCACACCTAATCTAGTGCGAGAAAGGCCAAATAATATCAAGTGCATCATCCACCCCATCCGAAGTCATAATTTCCATTGTGGCATTAACCCAGCCAGCCCTCCCCACTCCCCACGCCAAGCACTTCCACTTCTCACAGTGCAAGCTCCTGTTTCCTTCACTCACTCACATTTGTGCTGTTAATGGCGTATCTCACATTTGCCGAAAGGATAACCTGAACAGTTAAAAAAAATTTCTCATCAGATTAAACTCATTGTGATTTTTATCTCAGAGGTCACCTCTAGGGTAAGATGATGGTTAAGATGCACCCCAAATTCAGAAATGTCAAAAACAATTTGCCTGAGAAAATATGAAAGGTTTACACACATCAGTTCTTTATTGAAGAGGCAGTCCAGACCTACTTATACAAGCCAGACCCATTTATATACAAAAAAGGGTAGGATGACAACAGATAATGCCCTGTGACCTTTTCAAATATTTACTGAAAATTATATTAAACTTTAAGGTCACAGGGTAGGAAATCTTAGTAGTTGCCACTGAACTACTTTAAGAGTATTCCCTGCACAAAATTATGCAAAATCTACCATTTAATTCCTGCTAATCAGCATATCCATAAACATTTAGAAAAATATGGCAAGAGTGCTGAGCAACAAAAATGGTAGACATTTGTGATTTTTAAAAAATTTTTATGGAAGTGTAATATACATGCAGGAAAATACACGTATCTTAAGTGCACACAACACTCAAGATATTCAGCACCCAGACTTAGGAACCAATTACCAGCACCAGGTAAACACACCTTAGCGGCCTTGTCCAAGGCTGGCTGCTATCTGGGCTTCTATCTGCATGGGCAAGTTCTGCCTGTTCTCATGCCGAGCGGCTGTCACCTGTGCTTGCACCTGGTCACCCTCCTCACTCTACAGTACCGCATGCAGGAAAACACAGCTCTTACACGCAAAGCTCTACTGCCTGGGCGTCTTCTATCGTTTCGCGGTTTTATGCCACGAAAAGTCTCGGGCGTGTCCTTTGGTGGACACGTCCATGCACAGGGGACACACCCACACGTGTCTGCCAGTTCTGGGTTAGAGGGGTGAACACACAGATGTGGCCTGAAGTGCCCGCTCTCCGCACGGGCCTATCAGCGGGCAGCACCAGTGTCGGCCAGCTCGTCATCTCCTTGCCAAAGCTCCATGCTAGATTCTTTCTGCTTTTCATTGTCACCATTTCAGAGGGTGGGCAATAGTGACATGTGGTGTCTTAAATCTGCCATTTCCCAGATTACTAACAAAATTAACATACCTCCTCAAATGTTTATTGGCCATCTGGATAGTCTATCTTGTGAGATGGCTGTCCAAGTCCTTTGCCCATTTTCTATTTTTTTCTTGTTGATCTATAGGTGTTTATTTTGGATCAGGGGTCAGCAGCTACGGCCTGCTGGCCAAACCCAGTCTGGGAATAGTCTTACTGCGACACAGACATGCTCATCTGTTTTGTCTTACGGCGTTCACGCTGCAACGGCCAGGCTGAGCTGCCGTGAAGGAAACCAGGCCCCTCACCAAAAACCGCTCTTTGCCAACTGCTCTTCCACATTCAGTTCTGCTGTTACGTGCATGAACTCAAGTACCTTCTCCCCTCTGTGGCCTGCCTGTTCACTTTCTCAATGGTGTCTTTTTTGAGAAATAGAAGTTCTTAAACATAATATATTCAAACTAACTAGTTTTACAATTTAGTGCCTTTGGGATCTTAAGAAACCTTTGCTTCCCGTGTGGTTATTATACAGTGCGGGTTTTCTCGTTACAGCCTCCTTATTTTACACTCCTTACTTAGAACTGCACTCCACCTCAGCTGATTTCTCTATTTTCTATTAAATTACGAATTTAATTGACGAAGCACTTATTGGAAAGAACATCCTTTCCCATGTTACGTCATCACCTTCACCAGAAGTCAAGTGACTGTATGCTTGGGTGTTTCTGGAAGCAACATTCTGCTTCACTGGTCAGCTTAACTTTGCGCCAACACCAACCATGCTGCCCCAATCACTATGGCTGTAACAGCTCTTGACACCTGACACTCTAACCTCTAGTTTGTCTTCTCTAAAACACAGCTTTGATTATTATTGGTCTTTTGAATTCACATATGAATTTGTTTAAAAAAACTTGCTAAGATTTTAAGATTGCACTGAATGTATGAATTAATCTAAGGAAAACCGACACCTTTTTAAGACTGTCCTGGAATCTATGGACACGGTATCTCCCTCTCACTGCTCCGTAACTTTTTTTTTTGGATAGAATTCTTGAAAATATAGTGTTAGGCAACTTGTCACTCTAGGCACTTAAGGATTTCTGATTCTACTGTAAGTGGTATTGCTTTAAAACTTTTCATTTTCTGCGTTTGTTGCTGGTATATTAAAAACCAACTCTTGCAAAATGACCTTCTAGGCAGGGATCCTGCTAAATTTACTCAGTCCTAATTACCTGTATATTCCTACATATAAAATCATGTCATCTGCAAGTAAGTTTTACTTCTTTCTAATCCTTAAGCCTTTTCCTCCTTTTTCTTCCCTTACTTTCCCAGGTAGGTCCCTCCGCACAATACTGAATACAACCAGTGACAGTGGATACCCTTCTCTGGTTTTTTGATCTTAGGAGAAAACTTTTAATAGTTCACTATTTAATATGCTGTTTGTTGTAGTTTAAGACACTCTTTATCCAATAAAGGAAGTTCCTTTCCACCCACACAAAATGACGTTGAGTTTACCATGAGTTCCCTGGATACTAGGTTACTTTCCTTCAATGTGATATATTACAGTGATTGTTTCTTTTAAATTATTAAAACACCCTCACATTCCTGGAGTAAGACCCATTTGATCACTGTTCTATCTTTTTTCCAGACCCCATGTTAGTTTTAGTCACCCAGGACTGGGTCAAGCAACCACTATAAATGAGTTACTGCTGTCCAGATGGACGTTACCAGGGTTGTTTTAGATTATACTCAGGATTTGCCGTGTGTTACGTGAAGACGTAACTAAACTCTTCCAAGTACATGAGGGGAGAAAGGACACTGAGTTATCAACCAAAAATACCTGCTGGAAACTTGTATTAATTTGTTCCAAAATACTGGGGATAAGAGACAGTGGACAAAATAATGACACCATATTCATAACAAATAAAAACATAAAATTTCTGAATCACGTAACAGTCGCACACTCAAACCTATGGGGTAAAAAACAAGTGGCAGCAGAGCTGGCCTGTCTCACCAGCGTGAGCAGCACCGCGGTCCTTCACGGAACAGACCAGATTCCAAATGATCTATGCATAGGTTATGAAAACAGTATTTTTAAGTCACATTTTTTTTTGCTCAAATGCAGTTGGAAACTTTACAAAAGTCACTGGCCCCTCTACTGATGAAGCACTCATTAAAAGCCCATTTGAAAATATCTCTAAAGAATAGAAAATTATGTATTCAGCCATTTTGTACCTATCAAATGTGTCACCAACAATACATCCTATGTTAGCACATTTTGCCACCTTAATGCTCACACAGGAATACTGCCTTTTCACAAACTGTATCAAATCCAAACTTTCAGAGACTTGCATAGAATTAGTTAATCACACTTATGAAACATGAGACAGTCATATACATATTCAATGCTACTGTCCTCATTATCAACTCCAGATGATTTTTAAACTTCATTTTCTGCAATGAAGGTTCATTCAGAGCTGATAGCTTCTGATATATCCCTATAAGCATCTGATTTTATACCAGAAATATGGCTTTTAGTATAGCAATTTCCAAGACAATGTTTCCCACATTCACTCAGACAGATTTTGCTGTAGTACAAGTCCCTGATATGTAGACACAATTGGAATCCAAAATAAATATTAAATATTTATAGAGTTTCACTCTTGTATAAATGATCTAGCATCCAGTGAGTTGTAGGGTCTCGCTGAAGGCTTTGCTTGATGCATTTTTAGGGATTCTTCTCAGTGAAAACTCAGATTAAAATAAATCTAATGCCTAAATGCTCTTCCTTCTCCAGAAACATGAATTCAGCAGTGGTATCTGACTCCCATCTGGGTTTCCCACATTCATTATGTGCAGAGGGTTTTCTAAAATGAGATCTGACTTCAGAGGAGACTTCCCACATCAAGTACATTCATATTTGCTCTCTTGTGAATTCTCTGATGGCTGTTGAAGGCTGATCTGTGGTGGAATTTTTTCCCACATTCATTACATTCATAGGGCTTCTCTCCTGAATGAGTTCTGTAATGCACAGTGAGGTATGACTTCTGAGAAAAGACCTTCCCACATTCATTACATTCATAGGGCTTCTCTCCTGAATGGCTTCTATAGTGCACAGTGAGGTTTGACATCCGAGAGAAGACTTTCCCACACTTGCTACATTCATAGGGCTTCTCTCCTGAATGAATTCGATGATGGATGGTGAGGTAAGACTTCTGAGAGAAGAACTTACCGCACTCGTAACACTCGTAGGGCTTCTCCCCTGTGTGCACCCTCTGATGTCTAAAGAGGGATGAATTATGGGAGAAGGTTTTCCCACACTCGTTACATCCATAGGGCTTCTCTTCGGAATGACTTCTGTAGTGTGCAGTATAGTACGTCAACTCAGAGAACAACTTTCCACAGATGTTACATTCGTAGGATTTCTCCCCTCTGGGAAGTGACTGTTGCCCGCTGAAGGTTGAATTTTCAAGGAAGGTTTTCCCACATTCACTACATTCGTAGGGTTTCTCTCCTAAATGAGCTGGGTGATGGTCAGTGAGATATGAGAACCGAGAGAACTTCCCACATTCACTGCATTCGTGGGGCTTCTCATCTGTGTGTACTTTCCGATGCCGAATGAAGGCTGAGTTTAAATTGAAGGTTTTGCCACATTCATGACATTCATAGGGCTTCTCCTCTAAGTGGCTTCTATAATGTATAGTGAGGTATGACACCCGCGAGAAGAATTTCCCACATTCGCTGCACTGATAGGGCTTCTCTCCCGTGTGTGTTCTCTGATGTGTAATGAGCGTAGACTTCCGGTAGTAGGATTTCCCACATTCATTACATTTATAAAGTTTCTCCCCTGTGTGCGTCCTCTGATGGTCACTGAGGGCTGACTTGCGGGAGAAGGACTTCCCACATTCGGTACACGGGTAGGGGCGCTCTCCTGAATGGTTCCTCTGGTGTAAGGTGAGATGTGTCTTCTGGCAGAAGGTTTTCCCACATTCGTTACATTCGTAGGGCTTCTCTCCCGAGTGTGTCCTCAGGTGCTGAGTGAGATGTAACTTCTGACAGAAGGTTTTCCCGCACTCATTGCATTTATAGGGCTTCTCCTCTAGGTGTGACCTCCGATGTACAGTGAGGGTTCCTTTTTGGCTGAAGGATTTCCCACATACATTACACCCATAAGGTTTCTCTCCTGTGTGAGCCCTCTGGTGTATAATGAATTTTGACTTTTTACAGAAAGATTTTCCACATTCACTGCATTCAAAGGGCTTCAAATCCATCTGAGACCTCTGGTATACATTAAAATTTGACATCTGGATGAAGTCTGATCCAGAATCATTCCACACATAGGGCTTCTCCCCCACATAAGCTCTCTTATGAGTCATGAATGCAGCTTCACTGTCTAAGGCTTCTGCGCATTTGTTATATTCAAAGGGTTTCTCCAAGATATTAATTTTCTGAATACTTTCTTCATTTTGAGAATAGGCTTCCCCATTTTGATGAAATTCATAGAGCTTCTCTCCATGATATGTCTTCCCACATTCACTACACTCATCAGGTTTCTTCCTTGCATAGCTTCCATCACTAATAATTAATTCTGAAGCAGATTCTAAAGTCTTTCCACATGAGACACAATTAAGAGATATTGTACTTGAAGGAACAAAGCTTGTTCCCATGTTACAGGTTTTATCATATGCATCCTCTCTCTCTTCGCACAGGGCTCTGCCACTGGTATCAACAGCCTGCCCAGGACGTTTGTCTCCATTTTCTTGGCTTCCTTCTATCAGGTCAACTTTCCAGACTTCTGAAAAAGAGTAAAATGAAACAAGCCTTGTGAATCTGAGCACACCAGTTACAGAACAGGAGTGGGCCCAGCGTGGGCTTGACTCTGGCTTCAGGGCTAATCTCCACAAATATTTGTAATCATGAGCGTATAGTCCTCTCTCCTTGATTTGCCATACGAGGCAGACAGACACCTGGGGGTGGAGGAGGAATGTGGAAGGGATGAATGCGGACTTAGCAGTAGAAGAAGAAGGGAGAGTAAGCTCACACTGAACACAAGTAGCTTTGTTACTTTACAAATATGTTCAAAACTTTGGTAGAAAAGGTGAAATAAACTGAAGAAATCATGAGCAGAGGACAAAGTCTCCAACGAGTGCTAGATCCAGGCAGAAACAGGAGGACCCAGAGCCAGCAGGGCTGGTGGGAGGATGAGCACCACCACTGGACGTACATTCAAAGGAAATATTCAAGTATGGATGATGTTTGGGAGAAAAAGATCACAACTGACATTAAACCATCAGGTATCACTCCATACGAAGATTAGCACGGTAACATTCTAACCCAGACCTTTCCAAAATCTCTGCCTTCCTATTCTGCACATAAATCCAAAGAACCATTCTAAACACTCCAGCTTCTTCATGTTTAGAGACAGTTCCACAACCAGGGCTCCAACTCCCCAGCCCTGAATCACAGGGACCTGGAAGGAGAGACCCAGGCACACATCTGAAAGAAATGTAAGGTAGACCAATGTCTCCAGTAAGATCAGCTCCCTGAAGGGGTCTGTGGTCTTAGCACCAACTAACTTCCCTTCACAACAGAGAACAGCGCTAATGAGCACTAGAACCCCAACTCCAACGCGTCACAGGCTGGTGGACCTTGACAAGTTACTTAACTATGACACAGTTTCATGTACCTGAAATGCAGACAACAGTTCCTAAGCCAGAGGGCTGGGAGAACGCTGCATTCATTAGTATATGCTAACCACTTAGAACAGCGACACGAAACAAATACAAATACTTGTGAAGTTTTGCCATGAATTTTCTCTCAATTTACTGACTTAAATTTACCAAAACCAGCCACGTTCCTGGTATGACACTGCAACCTAATTCTGAATACAAATAAGAGTTCCCATAATCCCAGGTTTCATTTGGTGTAAAACCTTCAATATCAGATTCCTACAGTAGCTCCTATGATGTTAACTTCTATTTCTATGTATCTTACAAACTTGGGGATCCTCTGCACTATTTATAGTTACTCTCATCCACGTTCAGCGCAACACTGACAGCTCCGTGCTCAGAAATCTACAACATCCCTGAACCAAAACCCCCAAATGACAATAGGGAAAAAAACAGAAAAGTTATCATTTACCAGTAAGGTTTTTCATTACCTAGATTCACAATATATATTCAAACTACCATTGCACTCCTGTTCCAAGCACACCTTCTGCTCCAGGAAGCCTAGGCTCTGCCCTGCTCATTCCCAACCCTAAGTCTGCACACACTTCTGTTCACTCAGTCTGACTTCCCATGCTGGCTGTGCTCAAAACCTACCTATGTTTCAGGGGAAGCCTTCAAATATTTATCAAACCTCTTCCCAGCTTTCTGAAGGCCTCCTTTCCCTAAATTTTAAAATACCTTTAACACAAAGTTATATAACATGTATCTGAATACGAATAAGCTTAGGGAGAGAGCCAGGCTGGGATCTGAGGGCCTAGAGGTGGGAGTGAACCCGGGGCAGAACACAAGCCAGAGGCATCCCACGGCAGGGAAGGAAAGAGGATGGAAGACAGAAAGAATGACCAGGAAAGTCTCCAGTTAACTTTTCTGTCAGATTTTTGACTGTCTGAAAACAAAGGAATCTTGCGATGAGGCAGAAGGTAAGTTAGGGACAGCATGAGACAAAGGGAAGGCATCTTTAGTCCTGGTAACCATGGAGAATCCCTTAAAATGTAAGCCAGTGTAAGGCCAGAAAGGGAGCGTGCAATTGTGTGCTGGAGGGGGAGCGCTACCTGGGCCCTGGGAGTGCGATCTGGGGCATCTGAGGTCACTCCCAAAGGATGGAGCAACCACTCACAGAACGTCACGTCCCACTGCCTCACCTGGGTGAGCCTGCCGCGGGAGTTCACCGGCTGCTGTCCAAGGCTCTTCTCCCTGCTCCAACTTGACGATCACGTTGGGTTTGGTGCTGTCGTACCCTGTGAAGGAGAAAGTGCCGAGCTTGGACCAGCTGCTCAGCTCCAGGCCTCGGAGGAGAAGGTGCTGCTTCAGAAGCCACACAGTAAAGCACTGATTTTGCACTTCAGCAAAATGAGAACCTTTCAGTGCAGAAGCAGACACACATCCTCTACCTGGTGCCCAAAAGGAATTAAAAGGACTTATCACTGATTTCTTCAAAGTCAAGCATAAAACCATTAAATTGGAAGCCCCCTCACCCTCACCCCTAGCAGTGGCCCCGAAAGCAGCTCCACTCACCCACGGAGACCAGGTGGCTGTAGTTCTCCAGCATCACGTCCCGATAGGTTGTCTTCTCATTGGAGTCCAGCTGCTGCCACTCCTCCTGGGTGAAGTCCACGGCCACATCCTTGAATGACACTGGTCCCTACAATGGCACCACGATTGCAAACAGGGGACATGAAGGAGACTCGTGGGACAAGAGCTCACCCAGCTCCCTGTAAAGTTAACTATGAGCACTGAAAACCTCCATTTTTTTTTTTTAACAGATCATGGGAGGAAAACAAACCATATTGGAAAGACACTGCCTTTGGGTTCTTTAACATGCCCCCCCAAATCCCAAACCACTCAGAAACTCTCAAACAAAAAAGAGTTCCAATTTTGCGACTGAAGCCTCTTGAGTTCTGGGGGCGTTAAGATAATGAAACACCATTCCTGCTCTCAAACAGCTCGCAGCCTGATAAGGATGCTGGGTCAGTGAACACATGCATTTTATTCCTTGTGGTCTCCTTTGGCGCCTCTGCCGGCGGGCACTCCTCCCCGACCTCCTCCTGCTGGCACACTGCAGGGCTCAGTCCATCCTGGGTCAGCCCTGTCGCCCTCTGACCTCCTGCTCTGCTCTGACAGCTGGCGGTCTGCAGCTACCTGCACAGCTAAGTTTCCTACTTCCTTCAAGTGTTATCTCAAACATCATATCTCACACATCTCATCCTTGAAGCAATGAAAATTTGGTGCCTGAATGAATGCTTGAGGTACTGTCAGAGTGACGTATACAAGATGCAGGGCAGGCTAACAGAAGAGAAGCAAACTATTTTAATTCTATGTTGGCAGGCCTAGTGGGTACCCCAGGAGTAAGGGGGACAGGAGATGATGTGATATGAAAAGTTCCCACGACAAAACCTGAAGCAGTATCGACACGAAAGAGGTTGGCACAGGGCAGAGACCAAGAAGGCACTTTCTTACGGACAATTTTTTGATAAAGAAGAGTTGGTTCTAATTTGAGAGAGAAGATGAACATACACAATTAGTCTCCTGACTCAAAGATAAGACAAAAATCAAAAAAGCCCAACTGAAAGAAATATGAAAGCAGAGTACATTCTCACAAGAGCGATGGAACACAGAAGTTACCAATAGCAGGAACTTCTTTGAGGAAATTCTTGATTTATGGACTAGAGCAGATGAGAAACCAGGACCAAGGAACACAAGTCACTCAGGGGCGGATGCTGGGCCGCAGCATAAATGAACAGCAGACTCGCCTCCAGGCCCATCAGGAGGGCCGTGGGCTCCCGTGGCAGGAGAGTGACTGGCTGACGGAGAAATCAACCACAGACCAACCAAGCAGCTCGAGAGGTTTCCTGTTCTCAGTACACAGAGTGGCCGATGTACGGTGACTCTGGCCGTGGGCACCGTGGCCAGAGACGGAGCAGAGTGCAACACACTACAGAGCTCACAATCAAGGTGATCACACATTTACTGTCCAAACAGAAAACTGCTGTCTGGGACAAATGATCAACCAGGTGGGATCCCAGGAGCGGAGGTGTAACCCAAGACTGTCTCAGGCAAATCCAGACAAAGAGTCAACTCTCCGCATGCTGGACATGGATGTTTTTCCTAAAACAGCTCTCGGAAAACTGCTCTTACCATAAAGCAGTCTAAGCAACTGAACCTTGTCCATCAACTCACCACTGGCCCAAAATGCAGTGGTGCCCACAGGTTCTGCAGATCAGAAGTCACAGTTGACGAGCCAGAAGGCAGCCCACGGAATGGGAGGAAACATTTGCAAATTATATATTTGATAAGGGATCAGTTTCTAGCATGTATAGAGAACTCCCAAAACTTAAAAACAAAAATATGATTTTAAAAAGGGAGAGCAAAATAAATAATTAAGTAAATTAGTAAAAGATGGGCAAAGCACTTCAATAGACATTTCCCCAAAGAAGTTTTACAAATGACCAATAAGCATAATAAAAAGATGCTGAACATCAATAACCAGGGAAATAAAAATCAAAACTATAATGAGACACCACCTCACATCAATTAGGATGGCTACTATCAAAAAACCCCAGAAAATTCCATGTTTTGGAGAAACTGGAACCCTTGTGCACTGTTAGTGGGAACATAAAATGGTACAGCTGTTACGGAAAACAGCGCGGTGGTTCCTCAGAAAAATGAAAACCAGAACATGTGATCTAGCAATACCACTTCTGGGTCTATACTCCCCTCAAAATGAAAGCAAGGACTTGAAGAGGTGTCTCCACACCCATGCTCATAGCAGCATTATTCACAGCCGCTAAAATGTGGAAATAACCCAAAGGATGAATGGTTAAGCAAAATGTGATATATATACACAAAGGAATACGATTCAGCCTCAAAATGTAGTAAATTCTGACACATGCTACCACTTCAAGGACATCATACTGAGTCAAACAAGCCAGTCACAAAAGGACAAATACTGTACGATTCCACTTAGATGAGGTACTTAGAGGAATCAAAACCACAGAGACAGAAAGTCACACGGTGATTGCCAGGAGCTGGGTAGAGGAGGGAGTGGGGAGTTCGTGTTTAACGGGGGCAGGGTTTCAGTTTTGAAAGATGAGATGTTCTCCGGAGAGCGAAGCTGGTGATGACTGCAGAACAATCTGAATGTCCTTGATACCACTGCACTATACACTGAAAAATGGTTAAGATACTAAATTTTACATTACATATATTTTACCACAACAAAAAAAAAGTGGAAGAAAAAAAATGCAGTGACATCTAATTCCATATCCCGACCCACTCACCTTCAGAGCTCTGCTGCCGCCCCCACAAAGGAGAGGGGATGAAATGGGCTCACTGGCTGCGTTCGCTCACATTAGCTATTAGTAACTATTCCCTCAAAAAGTGAAATTTAAAAAAATCAAGAATCATCAGCTGATTGAGGAAAACAACACAAATAAAAAATAAGCATCAAGATGAACAACTCAACAACGACCGAATCGAATTCACACAAGAAACAACTTACATTTTTTTCTACTGATTTATATTTTTAAATAAATTAAGCAGGATATTGTTTCCATAAAATGAGAATATCCTGCTATGAAAAAGCCACTGGAGAAAATTTAGAAATTAAAGACTGGATTGTTGAATTTTTTAAAAATCCTCAAACAAGAAGCCTGAATAACAAATGAGACACAGAATACATAACTTAGGAAATCTCTCTGAAAACAAGAAATTGAAATGATGAAACAAAATTTGAGGTATTCAAGCCAGATCCAACAGCTTCAACACCTTCCAAAAGAGATTATAGAGGGTAAAAAAAAGACCAAAAAAAAAATCATCAAAGGCAAAACCAAAAATGATTCCTGAGCTGAAGAATCATCAAACAAACAAACAAAACAAGAATAATCAAAAAGGGCAAAGAATACTGGGGGAGGAGGGAAATAGTGAGATCCAGAAATTTCCTGATAAAATATCAAATTTAAAAATTAGGGGGAAATTCCTAAAAAGTTATGGAGAAAAAAAAATACACTAGTTACCCTGGCAACTGATATTTCATTTCTCAACTGAGAGAAAACAATGGAGAACTGCCCACAACATTCAAAGACAAAAGGATTCTGAACCTAGAACCACATACCAAGCCAAACTATCATTTAAGCCTAAGGACACTGTGACGGTATTTTCAGAAAAGCAAAACAATTTATATCAAAGAAACAGTCTCCTTAAAACACTCAGTGACATACTCCACTGAAACCCAGAGCTCCAACAGCAGTGAGCACGGGGTGAACACGGGGATGGGGAAACCTCACTGAGAGACCAGTAAAAAGGGTTCTCGGTTGTTGGAAGGAGCAGCTGTTGGCACTGCAAACATTTAACTCGTATTGCGGAAGGGAAATGCTCAGCAAACACGTCCCATTTCCCTCCTGCTTATGAAGGGCTTGCACCCACTGGTACAGCCACGTCTCGGCAGGCCCCACAGGTGAGATTCCCCAAGAGCCTAGGATTATCCACAGGCAAACCAAATGAGCCTTCAGATCACCTACAGGAACTAACGTCCTTCTGGGTTTAGTTAGGCCAGGAGGCAAGAAGAGGCAGGGGTTAGAAGACTCATCAGTCCAACAAATAAAATTAATTACATTCCATATGTGTATGCACAACTGGGACATTGTGCTGTACACCAGAGACTGACACATTGTAACTGACTGTACTTCAACTTAAAAAGAATTACATTCCGCACAGACATCATTTATATACCTACACTGTTTATATACACAAAATGTTAGCAAACAAAATCCAATACCAGATTGAAAAGAAAATACGTAATAGCCAAATGGGACTTATTTAAAGCATACTGACTGGTTTAATATTTGGAAATCTATTAGTACAATGTGCTATTTTAATACAGCTAAGAAAAAAAAATCTTAAATTCCCAAAGACGTTGAAAAGATCGCTTTCCAACAATATTCAAATGAATACGTGATTTAAAAAGAAACTCAAAGAAAATATGAACTGATGAATACTTCACTAACATGAATATATGTATGTACATGCATTTTAGTGTGATATATACACACAAGCACAAGTATACACTTTAAATTTATATACACACGCACACACTTATGCTTCAGTCATCTTAGTTCCAAAGTCAAAATTTAACAGGAAAACAACAGACACATTCCCACTAAGATTAATTAGAACCAAGGCAAAATGCTCATTATCTCCAATTAGAGGGAACAGTTAAAGGCCTAATAATAAGAAAAAGTAAAACTATTTCTATTCCCAGATGACATACTACACCTAGAAAACTCGGAGAATCAACAATGGAACCCAACAAAAAGAACTCTTGTTAGGTAACAGAATATAGAGTAAACATACATAAAAGCAACAGCTCTCATCATATAAAGCAATAAGAAGGTGTAACACAAGTGTACACACAGTTTACAACAGCAACAGAAAAGAGAACTCTTAATGAGAAATGTACAAAACCTATACTAGAAAAAATGTTAAAAAACACCCCTAAGAGACAGAGAAGTAGACCTGAATGGACGGAATGGCTCTCCTTGCTCTTGGACGGACAGGTCAGCTTAGTAACATAAACATGTCAGTCACTGTGAACTACGTTATAAACATGTGATGGCAACAAAAATAGGGAAAAGCTTTTTCCTGGAA